CCCTTTTCCAAAATGATCTGGGCTCTTCTATTCCTTTGAATTGCCATTAAAATTTTGGAAATAGTTTGCCAATTCTTATTTTAAAATCCAGTGTGATCTTGACTCAAACTATATTTTAAAATCTATGCATTAACTTTAGAATTAACACGACATTATTGAGTCTTCCAGTTCATGAAGAGAGCATACTACTAATGTTTACTAATGTCTCCTTTAATTGGTATGAGAAGTGTTCTGTGGTTTCGGCATACAGATCACGCATATACTCTGTTAGACTGATACAGGATTATTTAAAGTGCTTTGGTGCTACTGAAAATGGTCTACATTTAAATTTAAATTTCCAATTGTTCATTGATAGTATACAGACAAGCACTTGATTTTAATATATTGATTTGCTAATCTCACTTATCTGTTTTAGTAGCTTTTTTTCTACTTAGACAATTGTCTGTGAATATAGTTTTTATTTTTTATTTTCAAGCTGTATGCCTTTGTTAATTTCTTTTTTCTTCCATTACTGCACTACCTAGAATGACTAATAGAAGTAATTATAGGGGGGCATTGCTGTCTTGTTCCTGATTTTAGGAAGTATTTGGTCTTTCACCAATAAATGTTAGCTGTAGGCATTTTGTAGATCTATTTTATCAGGTTGAGGAAGACTTTTATTGCATGAATTAACATTGAATTGTGTCAAATATTTGTTTTCTGCATCTAGTGAAATGATCAGATGCATTCTCTATATATGGTTTATTATACAGATTGATTTCTTACTATTGAACCAGTCTTCCATTTCCAGAGTAAACCCCACATTCTGCCATTTTTATATATTGCTGGACTCACTTTATGAATATTTTTTAGGATATTTGTGTTTATGTTCATGAAGGATATTGGTCTGTAGCTTTATTTTCTTATGATGACTTTGATTTGGGTTTTGGGGTAATGCTGCCCTCCTACAATGAGCTGGAAAGTGTCCCCAAAACTTCTTCATTGTAAAAGAAATTCTGTAAAATATTTATTATTTCTTCCTTAAATATTTGGTAGAATTAACCAGTGAACCTTTCTAGATCTTGAGTTTTCTTTGTTTGAAAAATTTTAACCACAAATTTACTTACTTTAGTTATGTATTTCTTCCTAAGTGAGCTGGTAATTTACCATTTTTCCTTTCTCTGTGAATTTTTCTCAAAACCTATCAGTTGAATTCAGGTGTTTCTCCCCGCCCTGGTAGCACAGACCAAGAATTTAACATCTATGCATTAGTAGCTATAACAGCCACAGGAGGTTGGGATATCTCCCTTGCTACTCAAAGGTGGCAGAAGCTAGCCTGTAAATTGCTGGAGCAACCAGGGGCATTTTTCTCCTTTGGCACCCCCTCCCATGCATATGAACTCAGGCCCTCAGCACTTTTGGCCACCCTTACACCCAGCTCTGCTCTCCCCATAGGACAAAGCAGGATGGTGATTTGGGCCTCTGCACCCAACAGCAGTAAAGTTTAAGTTCCTCCCAGAGTGAGCTGCTCATATCTGTATGCCCGGACTTTCCTGATTTTTCCATTGGAAGTCCAGGACCCCAGGAACCACCTCAATTCCAGCAAATTGGGTGATTGGTCACCTTCATCCCTATCCCACTGAACTGGCCCAGTTCACTGAGCTTTATTCTAAAGCAGCTGAGGCAGGAGTTGAGGGGCAGGGGCATTAGGGGCCTGCAGGGAAGAGTGAGGATTCTCAACAGGAAGTAAGGCTGCCTGTTCCTCTCAATAAACAAACTCTTTCCCCAAAGCCCTCTATCCCTTTATAGACAGTACTGAATTCAGCATTGGAAATCCTGTGACTGAGCAGTCATAGTCATATCACCTTTCAGCTACCCTCCAGGTGAACCAGGAAGGAATGGAAGGTAAGGTTGCATGCATAGAGGGAGAGACCTGAAAGCAAGCTTAGAATGGTTCCAGGGGGTTCCTCTTTCAACTTTTGGTGGAGACAGTTGGTTAGGATACAGTAAAAGAACTGTAGGGTTGCTTACCTTGACTGTTTTCCTCTGTGTTTGTCAGAGTCATTGGTGCTCCAGAATATTGTCATGAGAAGTTTAGAGGTCCTCCACAGGTATCCACCAATGTCCAGACTAAATGTGTTAATTGGGGTGTAGAATTAATAGGGGCCCTAGCCGGTTTAGCTCTGTGGTTAGAGCATCGGCACTCAGCCTGAAGGGTCCTGGGTTCAGTTCTGGCCAAGGGCATGCACCTCCTCGATTGCAGGTTTGATCTCCATCCCAGTTGGGGTGCATGCAAGAGGCAGCCAATTAATGTGTCTCTCTCACATAGTTGTTTCTCTCTCCCTCTGTCTCTCTCTGAAAAGCACTGGAAAAATATCCTTGGGTGAGGATTAAAAATAAATAATAATAAATAGGGGCTAAAGCCCTAATCCTCTGAGAAAAAAAGTGTAGAGGAAAAGCGTTTAAGAGTTATTATGTGACAACACTATGGAGAAAGAAGATAATCCAAATGGGTGGGCTCATGAGGATAAAAGGCCGTCCTTCCATCTATCTTTTAGAGAGCGGGAGGTGGGGGGGTAGAGAGAGAAAGAAAGAAACATGGAGAGAAAGATCGACTGGTTGCCTCCTGTAGGGATCCCGTCCAGGGACCTCATCCGCAACCTAGATATGTGCCCTGACGGGGAATCAAACCTGAGACCTTTCAGCGTCCAGGACAATGCTCCAACTGAGCCACAATGGCCAGGGCAAGTATTTCCTCTCTTAGTGAATCTTTCCCCTCAGCATATAAACATACTCAGAAATCTAACAAAAACACACAACAGAAAAACAATAAAAATAACATCAAAATAACCTAAACTCCAAAACAAAATATCTTGATTAAAACCTTCCTCTAGCTTTCACCCAATATCTTTTCATTCACAATCAAAATTCTGTAGGGAGCAACATGAAGTCTAAACTTCCACATCCTAGCTTCTCACTTTCCACTCACCCCTAAATCTACTGCAATTGATTTTGCATTAATAGAATTACAGGCAAAAGTCACTGATGAACTTTCACTTGACCTACTTTATCCTCTAAGTAACTTTCCAGTTGGGTGTCCATCCCATTCTGTAAAAAGTGGAATTTTATCTTTGGCTTTCAATTTCAGAAACCTCAAGTAAGAATGGAGTTATCTATAAGGGAATTTTATTATCTCACATAACTTAGCCATACTCCTTAAGATGTCCAATAGATGGCCTCTCCATGGCTGTTAATCACTAGTTCATAAATCAAGGGCATTGTTGCTTTTCCCTTTCAATTTTATCATGGTCAAACTTGTTGCACATCAAGGTTGTGTGTGTGTGGCAAGAGCTAAATCACACATGCCAACATCCATTCAGAGCAGAGAGACTCTTTCTCCCCATGCATCTTTCTTTAAGTCTGAAAACTTTTTCCAGATATCTTTTCATGGCCCCTAATAACAGAGGTCATGTACTCACCTATAAATGATTCAAAACCAAGGGAGAAAAGACACCCATTTTCTTAGGGGTTCCTAAATAGAGAAGGTCCTATTTGGCCTTAGGACCCATGCCTACCTGTAAATGAATCAGTCTCATAGGGTAATAGACCATCTTGTGGACCCAGGATAATCAGCATTTACCTGGTTCATGTAGAAAAGGGCTGTCAGAGTTCTGCCGGCAAGGAGGGAGGGGGGCAATGTTTGCTGGGTGGCCAACCAATAATGCCATCTGTATACTTTTTACTGGATTCTCTGCTTCCAGTAAAATTGTTTAACCCTCACATCTTCTGCTCATTCCTTAAATGTTCATATTTATAGAGTTGTTCAGGACCCCTCTCCAGTCATTTTCTTCCTCCCAGTTCTTCACTCACATCTTTGAGTCTACCAATATATGCTCTTGACATGGAAACCTATTTTTCTGCAAGAGATAATGTACTGTGCTTGAACAGACAAGAGAGCAAACCTAAACTAATTACCTTTCTGCAATACACACACACACTCACATGCTGACACATTCACAGGCATACACACTCACACAAACATGCACACAATAACACAGATTCAGACATATGGACTCGTTCCAAATCTTTACTTTTTTTGTAGCATCTGCTGAATTTATTCAGCATAACCATAAAGGTGTTTTCTTCATGCTGTCACACACAGACACAAACACAGACACGGCACAATGTCCATATTTAGCCCAAGTGTTTTCCTTCTGAGGCTCATTTATATGTCTTCATATGCCACAGCCCATCATTTAAATAATGGATATTTTCAATGCCAATCCCTTTGTTGACTTTCTCGATGTCTTCCGCAGACATCTTCATAACTCCAACACAGAGAGCATGCTGTTTTCCTTCTGCCATGATTGCAACAATCGTATCCACTGCAGCAGGGTAAAGCTTGGCTCCAGGAGAGGTTAAGCCTGGACACATGATATTTGCTCCACTGAGCACGAATTTGATGGCTCCTTTATCAACTTGCTGTCGTGGCAGGATAAAAGGGTATTTGTGTAGTAGCCTTAGAGTTGGATAAAAAGGCCCTTCTCTTTGTCGAAAAAATAGTAACTCTCCGTTTACTGTAAGGATTTCTATATGTTCGTGGCATCGCACTATTTTGACCGGATCTTTCTTAGGCATGATTTGATTAAGCCATGGTTCAATGCCTGGAAACTGCTCTATCAACTGGTTCTTAATACCCTTAATAACTGACGTTTTCAACTGGATGCAGTTGGACACATTTTCTTTTTCATCAAATTTCTTGAACATGATCCAAAGTGACGGGGGCGACAGGAGGGAAGGGCCCGAAATAGAAAAGAACTGAATTCGCGAGGGTCGGCGGACGCGCTTACCCGAGGAAGGCCGGCAGAGATGGTCGGGGCTGCTGTCGTGAACCGGAAAGGGACGTGCTTTACGGCTCACCGTAAAATCTACTTCCGTTCCTCGGAACTCGGCTGCGCTTTCGCCGGCTGTTTTGGACGGTGGCTTCCTCTCCGGTGCGGTTGGTCACGGGGCGGGGCTTGAGAAGGAAGATGAGTTAGAGCAATCCTTCTCGTTTCAGGGGTCTGTATTTTATTTATGTTTTACTCGAGCCGGAAACCAGGGGGCGACGCCTGACTGTTCGCCGCTCCTACTCCTCACGTCACTACAAGGGGTCGAGGCCTGTTCATTGGTCCTCTCCCACGCGCCTCACAGTCTCCCACTGCGCTCGCGCTGTGGGACATTGTTGCGCTCTGGTCCGTATAATTGCCAGCAGTTGCTGCCTGTCACCGCTGAGCGCAACCTTGTCCCTTCCGAGCTCTCACCACCTGCGCCCAGAGAGGAGAGGGTTTGCGGCTTTGCGGTTAGAAGGGATTCCAATCGCTTATAAACATATCCAAACTCGTTTTACGGCCCAGAGTACGGTCTGTCTTGGTGAGTGTTCCAGGTGCTCCTGAAAAGCATGTGCATTCTGCCTTGTTTGGGTTCAGTGCTCTGTACATGCCAGTGATGCCCCGTTGGTGGAGGAAGTTGTTCAGGTGTTCTTGCTCCTTACTGATTTGCTGTCTACTTGTTAATATCAGTTACTGCTGATCAGCATGTTGAAATCTCAGCATATTGAAATTATGATTGTGGGTCTATTTCTTTTAAGTTAGTTGCGTCAGCTTTGGGTTCATATATTTTGAAGCTCCATTTATTAGGTCCATACATGTTTAAGATTAATATGGAAGTCACCCTGTTAATTAGGATTTTATCCATATAGATTTTACTTGTCATCCTAAGAAGAGAGAGGTTCAGGAGGACAGGAATTGTGTATTTTATCTCTGTATTCTTTCACCTAGCACAAGATCTGTTTCATGCTACATACTACATACAAATGAAGTGTCTGATAAATGAATAAAAGAATGTTTCTTCTTCCCCAGGAGCTGACCCCTTTCTTTCCCTGCCAGTGCTATGTGAAAAGAATAAAGGCAGATTCTTGCTGTCTGGACACTTCTCCTCAGTAAACACATGCTTAATTTGGTTAGTGTACTGCAGCAGGAATTCAAACAGGTGCTGGATATACATTTGAAAGGCAACATACATTTCCCCATTCTTAAGAGCTTATAGCACATGAGGCTGTCATATGCAATCTCCCCATTCTCAAGACAAAAATCTGTATTAATCTGGGTTCTCCCAGACTACCTGTATGTGTATGTGTTAATTATAAGAAAGTGGCTCACATGATTATGGAAGCTGAGAAGTCCCAACATAGCAGTCAAGCTGGAGACTCCAGAGCCAATGGTGTCATTCAGCCTGAGTCCAAAGGCCTGAGGACCAGGAGAGCTAATGGTGTAAATTCTAGGCTGAGTCCAAATCAGAAGAAGACCAATGTCTCACCTCAAAAGCCATCCAGGCAGGAGGATTTCCTTCTTACTCAGAGGAGAGTCAGCTTTTTTATTCTGTTCAGGCTTGCAATTGGTTGGATGAGACCTGTCCACATTAGAGAGGGCAATTTGCTTTACTGTACCAATTGATATATTCATCTCATCCAGAAATACCCAGAATAGTGTGGGCACCCTGTGGACCAGTCAAGTTGACACATAATAACCATCACAAGGGTACACTATCTTAAATGAGGCAGTATAGAGTGGGGTGTTTATGTGTGCTGACCCTAGAACCCAGGAAAGACTCCTGCTCCATTACTTACTAGATTGGAATCCTGAAAGTTACTGAACTTGTCTGTGTTTCCATTTATGCATCATGAATGTATGATTAACAAGTACATCTCCTGTGAGTGGGGGTGAGAACTGCTTGAATTAATATTTAGAACAATTGGGTTTTAGGTATTTCACATGGTTATTAAATTAACATGAAAACAGTTCCGTGAATATTTTAATACTCCCTGCACACAGGAGGTAGTACAACTGGCTCCAGATTTGAGCTTTCCTATCTATGGCTAAGTTTCTGATCTGTCGCCCTGAGACTTCACTCCAGTGAATTTGAGCCTCTGAAGAGTCACGCATTTTCAGATACATCTCTGATTATTTTACAGGCCACTAACCTCACCTATTAGGTATGGGGTTTTGTGCTTAACTCCTATGGGATGATTCTTTTTTCTTTTGTTCTTTGGGGTTATCCCACTGTGTGAAGTTAGTACTGTGTGAGCAGCATAAACAGGATGTCATAGAAATTCAAGGGAGGAAAAGTCATTACTGGCTAGAATTAACCAGGGTGACCTGTCTGTAGATGACTAGTAGTTTAATCAGAAATGCCCTGATTCAGCACTGGCTATCAGAGAAATGCCCAAGGGATTTTTGCTGTTGTTATTCCTCACCTGAGGATACTTTTTCCCAAGGAATTTTTTTAATAAAACTATTTTAGACAAAGGACTCTAAAAGTGTAGTCAGTGAAAAATCATTTTAAAGCCAATGATCATTTTTATCTGAAATCATACTCAATTCTGTACAATTTAACTTTTTCAGGGTAAACTTTTTCTTGGCCCACAAACATTTATTTGCTGTCTGTCATGAAAAGGACACTAAGCTCTAGTTTTGCTCCTAAATTCTTCAATTGAAAAGTGAAAAAAATTTAGACATCCTAAAAACTCACCTTCTGTAAAATGGGGCCTGATTCTTAAACATTATAAAAGAATCTAAGTCTTTGAGGCTGACATACATTAACATATGAAAAAATATGATATATAAATATTGCTTAAACTAGTATGTTAAAACATTAAAATACACTATCAAATTATTCTGGTTAAGTAGCTTAAAATCAATTCAAACTTAATTAACTATATAGATTTTTAAAAGAAGAAGGAAAGTTAAGGCACGAAACTCAATGTTTCAAGCCTATGGTGTACCACTTTCTAATTTTTATTAGTCTCCCTTAGCATTACTTTATTTCCTCATGAAATCTGAATACTGTACATACTTCACAATGTGCATATAGTGCTTATGCGAAATAAAAAAATACAGTATGTGCCCGGCCGGGCGTGGCTCAGCGGTTGAGCGTCGACCTGGGATCCAGGCGATCGGGGTTCGATTCCCGGTCAGGGCACATGCCCGGGTTGCGAGCTCAATCAATGACTCTCTCATCATTGATGTTTCTATCTCTCTCTCTCCCTCTCCTTTCCTCTCTCTGAAATCAATAAAGATATATTTAAAAAAAAAAAATACAGTATGTAAAGGACTTAGTGGTAGGAAACAGTACATTCAAGTGATTTATTGATTTATTTATTTATTTGCAAAACATACTTTGTGCAGTAGTTATGAAGTCTAAGATTACGCTATCTGTGTAAAAATTTTACAGAAGATTATACTGTAGCTTTGGATAATTTACTAAGTCAAGCAGCCAAGAGATGCCAGAATTCAATTTTATGTCTGTAATCTCAAGAGAGTATGTAATTGAGATATAGTGACTATGTTGCAAAGTTAAAATGAGGAAACTGAGTGAGAAAATTTCTCAGCTGCTTCAAATCTCCAAAATTTGAAGCGAGATTCACACACTTGGGTTGTATTAATAATTTTCAAACGGTTCACCTTAATACAGATTTGTCTGCATTTTGAGAAATGACCATTAGAGGGCAGGAGAACCACACTGAAGTCTACATGCTTGAAGTATTTGTACTATATATTAGAAGGAATATTCTCAACTAATAGGTAACTATTTTTAACCATACAGTTGTATCTCCTAAATAAATAAATCCATCTCTACGGAATCACAAAATATTTCCCAAGCTTAGGTGAAGCACATTCTAAATATAAGATATTAATTTTACAATTTGCCAATTTTCTCTATCAATAAATAATCAATTATTTTAAAAATATGTCTGTAAAAACACATTAGCCCTACATTTTTGACCTTCTCAAAGAAATGTAAAAATGTTTTTCTCACATTGCTTCAGTTTATGAACTGGGACTTCTTGGCTCCTTGTGTGGGTGCAGATTGGGGAACACTGGAAGTGAGAAGGGAGATGCTGTGGCAGTGCTGATAGAGAGAAGGGGAAGGCACTTACCTCCTTTTCTTGGCCATCAGGGAACTCCAGGAGAAAGCTCATGTTGATCCCCTTCACTTCACAGCTGGAGGAGCCAACTGAGTTCTCACTGAACACACCAGCAGGTCCCCTCTGTGAGGTAGAACTGTATCTGTAATGGTCACAGGACTTGGAGTGGGAGTTGCCACAGGTCCTGGGCTCTCCTTTGGGGCCCTTGTGGCTGAATGGAAGGGCTGTCTGTGCAGTGTTCAGACCCACTGGGAGAGTGGGTGCCCCAGGGTGCCCTTGGGCACAGATGGCAGTGACCCACACCCTGGAAGACATGAGGGAAGTGCACAGACGACAGTGATAGGTGGTACGCAGGGCTCCATGCCCATGCCAGCATTTCCTTGGCAAAAGTAAGCTAGTCTTCTAAATTCCAGAGAGCAGAAGACGCACAAAGCTCTGAGTGGTCTATGGGAAAGGTCAAGTCAGCTGTTGACCAGTTGTTTTCTTACATATGACACCACATATATATTTTTTCATTAATTTTTAGAGAGAGAGGGAGAGAGAGAAACATCTATGTGAGAGCGGAACATTGATAGGCTGCCTCCTGCACACCCCCTACCAGGATGGAGCCTGCAACCCAGGCATGTGCCCTGACCAGGAATCAAGCCAGCAACGTTTCGGTGTACAGGCTAATGCCCAACCAACTGAGCCACTTCAGCCAGGATACACCATCTATATTTTTAACAGCAAGAGAATTTCAAGGCCGAAGTGGGATCTGGGCTGGCAGTTGGGGCAGAAAATGCCCCAGTAGCTTGATCTACTCTAGTCTGTAAGTGCTTACCTGCCTGACAACCCAGATCCTGCAGTCTACGGCTCTGTGCCTGGCCCATACCAGGAGCTGGTTAGAAGATGCCCTTGGTGAACTAGAAAAAGAAGAGGAAACTAAACCTAAAGTTAGCAGAAGGAAGGAAATAATATGGATTAAAGCAGAGATGAATGGAGAGCAGATGAACGTTCAAGAAAAACAAAAGAGAAGACTCAAATTGCTAAAATCAGAAATGACAGCGGGACACTATTAATGACTCTACATAAAGAAAAAATATTACTAAGAGCATTAAAAACAATTGTATGCACCAAAATTGGTTAACCTAGGTTAAATGGACAAATTTCTAGAAGCCCACAAACTATCAAAACTGACTAGTCAGACCCTGGAGGATGTGGCCCTGTGCTCACCTGCGTTAGGAACCAGTTAGAAGGTGTCCTTGAAAATCTGGAGTCCCATCTGCTTCATGAGAGGGAGGGTTAAGCTGGTTCCATGCCTGACCCTTGGTGAAAGTCTACTTCACAGAACAAAGTCACAATTGGCGGTAGGGTTCTCAGTATAGAGCAGGTTGGCGTTGTCAGGGGTCTTCAGCTCTGGAGGGGCAGGGACAGAGAAAGTGTCAGCTGTGCTTAGGAAGGGCCTACAGGCCAAGGGAAAGGAACTGCATAGAAACAGGAAGGAGCAAGTGGTGGTCAGGGGGTGAGGATGTGGGGCCCTTGCGACCCTTCCTGATGCCAGTGTTTCCCACTCTGCACCCACAGAAAGGACCAAGTGCCCCCAGCTCTTGAGCAGACCTCCTGGGGTCTGCCAGAGCTAATAGCAGGCCTGGGGTAACTGGCAAAGTCTGCCATCTGCATTAATGTGTATAGGATTTGTTTGGCATAGTGAAAGCATTCTAGAAATAGTGTTGGTGATTGCACAGGATATTGAATTTACGCCACTGAGTTGTGCAATTTAAAAGTGATTAAAAGGTAAATTTTCACAAACTGTAAAATCTAGTAAACCATAAAGTATATGTATTGGAAAAAGGAAATCCTTTAAAAAAGTTATCAAGGGAGAGAAGGGCAGTTCTAGTGCTGGAGCGCGTGCTGGCTGGAGCTCAGGAGCTGATACTGACAGAGCTGCTAGGGTGGCCTCTAGCACTGGATCCTGTGTCACGGCTGATGCTAGACGTGCAACTGACTTTGACCGTGGAACTGGCATAGGACCTGGTGCCAGAGCAGGCTCTATCTCGGGCAGTGCTGCTAAAGCTGGTTCTAGAATTGACTCTAGTTCTGTGGCTGACTCTAATTCTGGAACTGGTACCATAACTGGTGAGAGAATGTTTTATGGATACTGCTTTAGGTCTGGATCTAGAACCAGAGCTGGCTGTAACTCTCGAGCTGGTCCAAGTTTCAAGCTGGAGGTGTCTCTAATTCTGTAGCTGGTCCTAGACCTAGCTCTATAGCCAGTGCCAGAGCTAGCTCTAACTCCACAGGTATGTATGGCCTTGGGCTACAGGTGGCAGCTTTGGAGCCCCTACTTACTGGCTATGGGTTAGATGATGTCCCACCTGTTGGGCTGGAAGCTCTGAGGGCAGAGAAGCTGTCTGTGGTTCACATTTATATTTCAGCTGCCTGCATAGGTGCTGAGTGCATCAGTGAACAGACCAATCAACTCAAGACTGCTTTGTGCCTCAGGTCACTCATCTGTAAAATGACAGCAACCACCTCATATGCCTGTTGGGAGGATTATACTTGATTCAATGTATATGTAAGTGCCTATTAGGTACTACTTGAGGAAGCTGACTAGAGCAGGACTTAAAGAGAGAATATGGGTGACAGATAAGACATCCCAGCTCATTTGGGAGCAGCTGCCAGGATCAGGGTCATACACATGTCCTTGTCCAGCAGCTCAGGACCAACCTGGTTGGGACCAGAGAAGATATGGGCCCCTTGGTCTGAGAAGCAATGCTACTCATGATCTCATGTGGCCACTCTTAACTTCCCTCAGTTTTTCCATCTTTAAAATGGGCATGCAAGGAAACCATTCCTAGGTTTCTTCATGATGATTTTCTTGATCCTATGAGACAAAGAAATCCCTGTGATCTGTCTTCCCGTTGGTAACCTCAGAAGCTGGGGTTTAAGTTCACAAAGAGAACTAGGCAGTGTCATCCAGGAGACTGGCTAGGATCCCACTTCTGGCCATAGTCCATACTTGGCCCAGGTCTCTGGGCTCTAACCCCCATTGGCCACAAACACCCTGGCATTGGTGGCACACTAGTTTTGTTTCCAGGTGCTCAAAAAAGCCAGCTTGAAGTAGGTGGGGCAGAACTCCCTTCGAGCAGTCAGGATCAGGGAGAGATGTCTGCAAATTAGTAGATAGAGCTTCCATTTTTCATTCTTTCTTCTGGATCTTTTCCCCACCTACATTGTATTCCATCTCAGGTATGGTCATCACTCATATAACCTGATAGACAATGAAGGAAATTGGGTTATTTCCAATCTTTGCCCATATGAAGAAGGCTGCAATGAATAACTGTACATATATCAAGTGTAGACATGCTTCCATGGAATAAATTCCCTGAACCTGGAACTGTTGAATCAAGGGGCAAATATGCATTTGTAATTTTGATAGATGTGGCCAAACTCCCTTCATTGGAAGGCAACTGGCATCTTCATCACTAATGAATAAAAGTTCCTATTTCTACACAGCTTCATAGTATATTTTCAATCTTCTGGACTTAGTAATTTTGTCATATATTTGAGTGAGCAGATTTCATGTGTATAAGGCTATTTATATTTGTTTTTGTGAAGTGTATGATAATGTATTGTGTCCATTTTATATTGTGTGGCTGCTCTTTTTCTCATCAGTTTCTAGGATTTCTGTATCTATAGGGGACATTAGTCCTTTACCTGAGATATGAGTTGCAAATATTTATTCCCAGCTCATCATTTCTTTTTTTTTTAGGTCTGTTTTTTTTCCACTATACTGTTAAAATGTCAGTTCTCCCCGATTTGATTTATAGATTCAATACAGTCCCTATAAAGTGCCTCAGCAGGTATCCCTTTGTAGAAATTGATGAGCTAATGTCAAAATTTATATAGAAATACAAAGGGCCAAGAATAGTGAGAACAACCTTGAACAAAGTTAGAGGACATGCAATTCCAGCTACTCAGACGTTTCCTTAAGCTATAGTAATCAAGGCAGTGAGTAGTGTGTGAGGACAGACATGCAGAGCAATATTATAGACTCCCACACAGATGTTCATGAATCTCACAAGCATAAGCACGATAGCCTAACATGAGAGTCCATTCTGAGGGTGGTTTAACATACAAAAAACTTTATATTATCAGAATAAAGGAAAAAACTGTGTGATCATCTCAGCTGATGCAAAAACATGCGACAAGAGTCAACAACCTTTCATGATAAAAATAGTAAACTAGGAATAAAAGGAAGCTGACTCAACACAATAAAGGCCTTGTATGAAAAGCCCACATTTAACAGCGTACTCAGTGCTAAAAACCTGAAAGCTTCTGCTGTCAGGTCAGGAACAGGCAAGGATGCTCACTGCCCCCATTTGTTCTCAACATAGTATTGGCAGTTCTAGCCAGAGCAACTAGGCAGTAGTACATAAAGATCCTGTATTATACAGTATATAGTTATATACACTATATTATACATTTATATACATATGTAATTATATACGCATTGCACGTGATATATCATATACCATATTTAAAATATCAATATTGATACATAATATTTATATATTAATAGTATATTTATAACATAATATATAATATAGTTATCTAAAGACTATAGCAGGTCTTTGCTCCCTAATCTCAAGGGCCTGTTCCTTGAGTCACCAAAGGGGCTGTGAAAGACTCCACACAGCAGTCCTGACTGCCCCTGACATTCAGGCTCCATTCGACCTGCTGTAGCACATGGCCCAAGGGCAGAGCCTTCTCCTGTTCTGGGCCCAGCTCAAAACTAGCAGCTTTCCAGTTCACTGGATAAATGGGCCAGAGCCATATACCAAAATGAGAAATATGTTGCCTCCAAAATCAAGAGTCCACTAGGCCACTAGTCCACTATTGATACATAATATTTATATATTAATAGTATATTTATAGCATAATAATATATAATATAGTTATCTAAAGGCTATAGCAGGTCTTTGCTCCCAAATCTCAAGGGTCTGTGCCTTGAGTCACCAAAGGGGCTGTGAAAGGCTCCACACAGCAGCCCTGACTGCCCCTGACATTCAGGCTCCATTTGACCTGCTGGAGCACATGGCCCAAGGGCAGAGCCTTCTCTTGTTCTGGGCCCAGTTCAAAACTAGCAGCTTTGCAGTTCACTGGATAAATGGGCCAGAGCCATATACCAAAATGAGAAATATGTTGCCTCCAAAATCAAAAGAGTCCACTAGGCGCTGTACCTTTGCTGGTGAAAGGAGGGGCCAGATGCAGCAATTTCTCTTTCACCTTGGGAAGGGATGTCTCCACATGTGCTAGACCACCAACCCCAGATGTGTCACTGAGGTGGAGGATTAATTGAATTTTATTGGATTTATTTCCTACCCTCTGACACGCACATGTCTTACAAATAAGTCTAGAGTAGCTGCTACTTCTTGCTCATTGTGTCCATTGTGTCCAGTCAGCATGTCATGGATGCAGTGGGCCAGTGTGATGTCTTGTGGAAGGAAAGACTATCAAAATCCAGGTGAACTAAATTGTGACAGGGCTGGAGAGCTGATAACACCCCAAGGTCAGACAGTGAACATGTATTGCTTGCTGAAAGTAGACAGCTTCTGGAGGTCTTCACTAGCAGATGTGGAGAAAAAAGCACTCCCACATCAAAAGCTGCATGCCTCTTCCTCTTAACCAAAGAACTTATATGCATATATGCATAAACCATGGACACAGACAATAGTGAGGTGAAAGCCTGGGGAGGGAGCGGGAGCAGGGCAGAGGGGGTTAATGGAGGTAGGGGAAAGGGGACATCTGTAATACTTTCAGCCATAAAGATAAGTTTTTTTTAAAAGCTGCATGCCAACTACTAAGGGGTGTGTTATTGTGCTCAAGCAGTGAAACATCTAGAAAGCAGTGGCAGTTGGAGTCATCACCTGGTTAAGCTTATGATAATTCACTCTCATTTTTCAAGATACACCTTTGGCCCCAGCTCATTGAGACATCATTGGGCAAATGGCTGCTTTGCTTTTCCAGAGCCCTATCCTCCGGGGACAGGCACTTTGACAACTCTTGTCACACCTGAGGTATAGCTACAGCAGTTCACAGTGCACCCATGACCTGAGAATGTGCCTCCCACTGGGACAGGTCGCCTTTTCCAAGTGGGTTCCTTTGTAAAGCTCGTCACATCTTGGTATGTGCAGGGTCTTCTAAGTATAATCTCACTGAACTTTTCTTTGTAATATCATGGAAGGCTGCTCTCATTTCACAGAGAAGGAAACAGGCTCAACTAGTAGCACCTTTCCAAGATCACTGAATCCCTCTGACCTCCGTGCCCGTAACCACTAGCCCCTTCCCACATAGGTCCTGAATGTGCCTGCTGTGTGGGCTAGGGGCTGGCAGAGGGGCGGGGCAGGAGTCATTCCAGTGGAGCCTTAGAAGTAGTCTAAGCACTTTTTCCATCTCCAAATCCCTAGTCTGATGCTCTGACCTTCCATCAGCTTCCCAATCCCCCTGTGCTTTGTAAAGGCCTCTGCTCACACAAGCTCAAGTGAGTTCTGCTATTGTAATTGAGAACTTTGCCTGGGTGGGGCACATTCAAGGTTGTCCCTGTGACTCACTGAGCTGCCCTAGGTGAGCTTTCCTGACTCAGAAGAAGGGGTTTGTGCCTGGAGGGAGAGGGAGCAAGCAGGCAGCCAGGCCCTTGCCCACTCTGTCCTGGATGGCAGGCCTGCTGCTCTGCTCAGAAGCTAGGTTGTGGGGCAGGAGGCATAGGGGCATGGATGGGGCCAGGGGCTGGGCAATAGCCCCACAGTGAATAGTCTGTCTGGACTGTAATGAGTAGTTTTGTAAATATAGCTTGGAAGAATTGTGCAAGAAATTTTTTTATACATTTCTAGGCTCAGCACTGTTAGGTAAAGATAAATACCTATGTACCTGTAGGATTTTATGGGTCCTTTGAGCTATTCTCCCAAAGGCAAGTATCCTTTCACAGTTCCCTCCAGGGGATCTGGTGGAGTCTTTGCTTCCACACATTGTCCCCAGGGCTGGCTGGCACTAGACATAAAACCTGCTAGTGATGGTGACACATGCCATCTCACAGTGTGTGCCCTCAGCAGGGAGATGGGCATCTCTGGCAGGCAGGCCATATGCCCTGCTTCCCGCTTGCATGGCATGTGTTCATTTCTGGCCCCTTTTTAAAACAGTGGTTTTTGAGAGTTTTGGGTACCATTGGGATGTTAAACCTTCCTCTGGCCTCAGGTTCTGAGGAATGCTGTTCTAGTTTCCATTTGTCTTTCCACTGCTGACAATTTCCTTGTTTTCAGGTAGCCACAAAAGAGCCAGCTGTTTCTTTATACCTCCTGGCTCTCAGTGACACTTAGAACAGTGGTTTCCACCCCAAGAATTTGAACATATCTACTATAAAGGCTTCAGTTTTCATGTATAATCTTGCTTCATCTGGGATTTCTCTTTTAAATAAAAAGTGCTATTTTAAATTTTAAGAAAAGCAAAAATAAGTCCCTCTTAAAATATGTGGGCAAACATAAAAAGCCATATAGTATGATTCCATTTATATGAATAATCCAGACGAGGTAAAGAAACAGACAAAACAGGTTAGCTATTGCTGGGGCCTTGGGAAAGGCAGTGACTGCTGGATACAGGCTTTCTTTTGGGAGAGATGAAAACAGCCTGCAGTTAGATAGTGGGGCTGGTTACACAGCATGGGGAAGTAATTAATGCCTCTAAATTGCAGTTTAAAATGATTAAAAGATTACATTATACTGAATCTAAATTTTAACACATAAAATGTTTAAAAATTTTTAAATATAAAAAGTGAAAAATAAATGCTACCACCAGAGGAGAGAGGCCAGCTCTGGTGCTGGGCGTAGCTCAGGACCTGGTGCTGAGGGAAGCACCAGGTGCAGCTCCTCCTCCACACGTGGGAAGACAAGGTGGCTCTAGAGCTTCTTCTGTAGCTGGACTCCAGTTCTAGAATTGCTGTTTGAACTGGTCATGCATTTGACTCTGGCTCTGGACCTCCTGCCTGAGGTGGCATCAAATCCACTGACAAAAATGCCTCAAGCTCTAAGCAGACTTGGGTTCTGTAGTTGAGCAGGTGGATCTGACTCTTGAGATGGTGCCGGAGTCAGTGATAGAGCCAGCGCCACTCTGGAGATGGCACTGGAGCTGCAAGATGAAGAGGTCACCCGCATGCCTGCCTTACCATGGGCCTCTCCAAAGGCAGGACATATCCCAGAGCCTTCCAGAGAAGGACCTCTTCCTAGGCTGAGTCCTCCTAATGGGTGTCCTGAGGCCAGTCTGCTCCTATCCCTACACCAACTTCTGGCAACTCCTCCCTGAGTGGCCCCAGCACTGACCCTTCCCCATATGTTCACATGCACTCACCCCACCGAATCACCCTAGGGCTCTGCCTCACTGGGCTCCTGGTCAAAAGAAGGTAGTCACGGTGCTCCAGGACTGGGCCAGGCCTGCTGAGCCACATGTAAGCCATAAAATCCTTTCTGCCAGTGAATTCCACATCCTCCAGATGCTGCCCTCCAGCAGCCCCAAATGTCCTCCACCATGAAGACAGGAGCCCTCTTGACCCAAAGCCCACTCACTCCTTTAGTCTGTCATCCTCCTGAAGTCTGTCATCCTCCTGACAATTAGGGCAGAGGAATCCATATCTGGAGAAGGCTAGGAGGGCATCACATTGAACATCCTGTGTCCTCTGCCTGCTTTGATGTCTAGTGGGACTGGCTGATGGCGCAACTGGAAAGGAAGCCAGGGAGGGTAGGGATTTTAGTCTGCTCCATTCGTTGATTATACCAAGAGCCTAGAAAGGGGCCTGGACACAGTAGGCACTTAATAGATCTATTGTTGACAGAATGAAGCTTCTCAGATATTTGAGGTTACCTGGGGCCCCTCAGCAAGGCCCCAAGAGTACCTGCTCTGGCCACACCCAGGACAGGGGACTGCCCAGATGAAATGTAACACTTCCTTTACAAATGGGAAGCAGCTTTTCCCAAGAACAGAACAAGTGAGGCTTGAGGCAGAGAGCTGCTTCATGGGGGAGAGAAAGCCATAAAACCACAGACCTGGGCAGCCCTTTCCACAGGGCCAGGCATAGTGTCAGCACTCTGCATGGCTTATCCACCTAGTCCTGACAGTAACCCTCTGAGTTTAGTCCTCATAGCACCCCATTTTCCTACGAGCAAACAGGATCAGAGAGGTGAAGTGACATTCCCAAGACACACAGCTGTGAAGTGGTAGAGTAACAACTGTGCTGTAGTGGAGGAGAAGCACCCATCTTTTCCACAGCAGGTCTTTGACCTTTTGGGTGCTGGAAAGGTTTCACTAGGTAGACGGGGACAGGGACACAGTAGTATGCTCTGGAGGGCAGACGCCATATACTCTACCAGCTTCTGCAGTGTGCCTGCCTTCACGGTCCCCACCCTGCAAGTATGTCTCATCTGGGGTCAGGAATGACTTATTTTCACGCTGGAGTAAGACAAAAGAGGGACAAGTCAAACTATACAAACAGTAGCAAATACAAAAATATTTGTAGTCAAAATGTGAAGTGAAAGCAGTATAGAAAGAATTTTCTGATATTCCCACAAATGAAAAGTAATTTTGCTTTTTTCACAGCAGCTGAATGAATCAGTGAGAGGATCTTGCAGCCCTCTCCCGCCTCTGAGCAGCTCACATCGTCATGGAGGTGGAGGCTAATAATAAAAGGTACAAGTTGGGTCAGAGGCAGGGGTATGCCCAGATTGACTGACCCCCCTTCCCTGCGCCTTGCTTCGCTGAGCACAGTGGGCACAGCCGCCCCCTGGTGGTCAGCTCCAGCACTGCAGCCGCGGGCAGGAAACCACAAAACACACCGTCGTTTGGGGTCTTCCGGGCAGTGAGGCTCCCAGGCCCCAGGGAGCAAAGGGGCCGAACCTGAGGGCTCCAGGGGGATGAGAGTGGCCTGAGGCTCCAGCAGGGGTGGTCCGGCCCCTGGTCCCCGAAGGAGCCGTCCGGTGCCCTGCCCTGGCCCCCAAGCCGCCCCCTGTCCCAGGGAATTCAGAGGGTAGAAAGGATTTACTGGCCTCAGAGCAACGGGTCACGGATGGAGAACAAAGCACAACACGCTCTCCTACGAACCTGTGGGACCCTCGGGGTCCCAGCCCTAAGTCTAACCAGTTGTAGAGGAGGAATCTGGCCTCCTCGCCTTACCCTGGGGGCCCCTCTCCATGGGGTGGAGGTCAAGGACTTACCCTGGTCCCAGGCGCCCAGCGCGGTGGACAGAGCACCCCAGACCCCGTCCCCTCCAGGCTGTCCTGGGGTGGCCCTGCCGACCCTGGGACCTCAGCACCCCAGCCCATCAGCCTAGCTTCTCTCCTCTCCGGGTGCAGGGCGCCTCTGGCGCGAGGCTAGGAAACGGGGACCCTGCGGGACCTGAACACCCGGCGTCTGCACCCGGCTTCCCATGCTCAACTTTCTCCAAAGATGTGGGGGTGCTCGCTGCCCGGGAGGCGGGGTCAGCGTCACCCCCGAGCCAC